TCCCTTTCCCTTTTATTCTGTACAGGCTGCAAGCCTTTTGGTAGGTGCCACACACCCAAGGCGGGGCTTCCCATTACACCCAGAACTATGGTAATCAATTAGTGGGCTGACCCAATACCACATGCCTTTAATCCTAGTGTCGCTCCCTAAACCCACATTTGCCCACCCAAAATCCAGTCATCTTCTAAAAAGATTCACCTATGACTGTACGAGGCTTTGGGAGGACATCTAGATACAAGCCATAACACTCCCTCTCTGATCTTTTTTTTTTTTTTTTGAGGCAGTATCTCACTTATTCAGGCTTGCCTTGGACTCACTATGTAGTCCAACCTGGCCTCGAATTCACGGTAATCCTCCTGAGTACTGGGACCACAGCTGTGCGTCGCCATACGTGGATTCTACTTCTCTGACTCTATCAATGTAGTTTGAACAAATTTATGGTTAAATCATATTTAGTGTTTATTATGACTGTGTATCTGTTGTTTACTTTTGGGTCAACCAGTATGCTATAACTACATTTTATTCATTTTAGAAATTTTTATTTTTAGTAGAGACAATGATTACCTTATCTTTCCCTTTCCTTATGTCTTTTGACCTCATGATCATGAACATCTGCCAAAACCTATAGTAAAACCTTGGCCTGTGAGCATAATTTGTTTTGGAAACATGCTTGTAATCCAAAGCACTTGTATATCAAAGTGAATTTCCCCATAAGAAACAATGGAAACTCAGATGATTTGTTCCACAACCCAAAACTATTATATAAAAATGATTACAACAGTATAATATACATTAATAAAGAAAATACAAAATATAAGAAACATTAACATGGACTTGCCTTTTAAAACCTGTGTAGGGGGTTGAGGGAGACCCTAGGGGAGAGGGTTATTATGTAGAGTGACTTTTATTATGACTAATGGAGTCACTGCCATCTATCAGCTCAGTGGAATCTTTTTCTTTTCATGCAACCTATCCAATTACACTTGCTCTTGCTTCTTTTTGAGGATTTCACAAAAATGTGACACTGCATCATTGTTAAACAGATTGCTCACATTGCTTCATCCTTTTTATTCAGGCAGTGCTTTTCTACAAAATGTTGCTCTGTTTCCCACATTTTACACTTCTCCCTAATCTCATGAGAAGTGAGGGATTCCTCTGCAAGAATTTCCTCTGCAGGATTCCTTTTCTCCTCCTGTTCTTCTAATGAGATCTCCCTTATAACCTCTTGCTGTGGGGAGACGATCACCCACAATCCCCAGTGTGTGTGGAGGGAGAACCACTGGCTCAGAATGGAGAATCAGAATGGAGAATCACTGGTTATGGACATTCAGCATCACATACTACTCATATTGCAAGACATTACTTGTCTATATTGCTTCTTTGAGGATTTCACAAAAATGTGACACTGCATCATTGTTAAACAGATTGCTCACATTGCTTCATCCTTTTTATTCAGGCAGTGCTTTTCTACAAAATGTTGCTCTGTTTCCCACATTTTACACTTCTCCCTAATCTCATGAGAAGTGAGGGATTCCTCTGCAAGAATTTCCTCTGCAGGATTCCTTTTCTCCTCCTGTTCTTCTAATGAGATCTCCCTTATAACCTCTTGCTGTGGGGAGACGATCACCCACAATCCCCAGTGTGTGTGGAGGGAGAACCACTGGCTCAGAATGGAGAATCAGAATGGAGAATCACTGGTTATGGACATTCAGCATCACATACTACTCATATTGCAAGACATTACTTGTCTATCAAGTTAAAGTTCATCAGAAATGTTTACTCATTTGGTGGAACACTCACAGAATAAGTTATTCACAGAATAAGTTACTCACAATACAAGGTTTTACTGTGTTTTGCTTTCAAATACTCAAATAATTTAGATAATCATCCAATCCCACTGTGTTTCAAAAGGCTTCCCTCTAAACTATTTATTCTCCTGCTCCAATTTATACTTCTTAATTCAACCCAAGGCCTGCTACCCAGCTCCATCCTAGATTTCCTTACACTTTTCCTGTATGCTATGTTTCTTTTTTGTTTTTGTTTTTGTTTTTTTTTTTGGTACCGGGGATTGAACTCGGGTCCTTGCACTTGCAAGGCAGGCCACCGAACCACTGAGCTAAATCCCCAGGGTCCTGTATGCTATGTCTTTATCTTGCCTTGCTGCCTTATTTTTCTTTAGCACACCCTCTAGAAGTTTACTAAGAACAGGTACATTGAAGATACAATTATACATTCCTTGCGTATTTGAAAAGGTCTTTATCCTCATAGTTGATCAATCATTTATTTAGGTGGCTATGGAAATCTAAGTATAAATACAATTTCCCTTAGAATTTAGAAGTTAACCTAGATTCAACATCTTCTGCCTTCCAGTGTTGTTGTTGAGTATCTGATTTCTTTTGCATGTGACTATTTTGTTTTCTCTAAATGTTTTTGATATTTTTCTTCTTTTTTTAACACACCTAATGTACTTTAAAGTGGGTCATTGTTTATTCATTCATATGCTTGGCATTGTATGATCCCTTTCAATCTGAGCATTTATTATTTCAGTCCTGGGAAGATTGCTATTATTTCTCTCACATGTCTTCCTGTTCTGTTTCTTTCATTTTTTTTCTCATAACTCCTACTAGTTGATGTCAGAATTCTTGAAATGACTTTCTAAGTTTCCTACTTCTATCCTTTGACTTTTCATCTCTTCCTTGCTATTCCACTTTTGGAGATGTTGCCTCAAATATATTTGTTGATCTTCTGAGCACTTAAACATTAATGTTTTAGTTTTTAATAAATAATATTTGCTTATAGTTAAAAATTCAAAATTATGAAAGAGAATATAAGTAGAAGACAATCTCCTTTGGCTCTCACTCCCTAGTCAGTGTACCTCCTTGGTGGAGATATTTGGCACATCAGGGGTTGAAAGAGAGGCTCGGGGCTAAAACAGGTATTTTATAAGACTTTGCATACTGATAGAATTCCCAGTTCCCTTTTCCACTTTATTTTTGGAATGCAATCATTCAGGTAATGGTCTCCTAGACAGGCACTGGTTGCATACTTTGTTAGGGAATACAACTTTGTTAGATTATTAGGTCCTTTCTTCTGGCTTGGTAAGATTCCCCCAAAGTAGAATATTCTAATGTCTTGTTTAGATGGTGGGAGCCTTGTTGATAACATTCTGAGGAAAAGAGCTAGGTGGAGGTGGGGCTTTTGTCAACATTCAGTATGTCAATTTCGACTTAAGTTTTCTTTCCACTTGTTCTGTTTCTGTAGTGCTGGGGATGGAATCCAGGTCCTTGCACATGCTAGGCAAGCACTTTACCACTGAGCTACTCCCCAGCCCTATTTCTCTGTTTTTAATATTGTGTTACTACCTTGATCCATGCTTGGTCTCTTAGTCTAGAAACCCTCTGTTTTGCCTTCTTTAAAGAATGTTAAACCTTATTCTTCTGGGGTAGAGGAAGAAGAGTCATCTGATTAAATTGGATGTGGAAACAGTAATTCCTTTTTTTCCTCTTCTTCACATTGCATAATTTATATTAATCTGGTTTCTTGTTTACTGACAATTTCCTTTGTTATCTCTGTTCTATTCTATGTCAATATAGTAAATACTTTATTTCAGCAATTATATTCCTCAGTGCTAGAACTTCTATTTGTTATAGTTTCTATATCTTTGCTAAAATTCCATATCTTTTTCTTCATTCTGAGTATATTCTTACATCACTGAATGTAGTTATAATAACTATATACATTAAAGTTATTGTTTGCATGCTTCAGATATTTGGGGTATGTTGAGGTCACTTCATTTTCTATTGGGAATGGATCACATTTTTCTTTTTCTTCATGTGTTGGATCATTTTGGATTGTATTCTACATATTCTATAAATTCCCTCGTGCATAATCTGAAAGAGTGTTATTGTCTTCTATTTATTTGTTTTAGGTAGCAATTGTCTGCTTTGGATTCAAATTAAAAACTCTGATTTCGGAAGGCAGCTCAAACCTCCTTTTAGTTCTTACGTATTTAGCTGGGTTTTTCACAATTTGCCCTGTACATATGCAGTTTAGGAGTCATCCAGTTATTTGGGCAGCATTGTCAATCTGTATAGTTTATATTTTGGGGCTCCCCTTCTCTGGCCCTCTCCTTTCTAATGTTAGCTCTTATTTTCCAGTAGTTGTGGTTGCTCAGAATGTTTTTCCCTGGTTTTTCAGGTCAGAAAAACAGTTTGTTTGTTTGTTTGTTTGTTTGTTTTAATTGGAATTTCAGCAGTGACACCTGGCTGCCTGCCCTATGTCCAAGAAGCAAGACACACAAAAATGGGAACTTACTTTACTGCCTGTGCCATTCTTATCTTCTAAATGTCAACGTTGAACCTGCCTGCTTTTGTTTACACTGTGGTACTTCAGATACATTTTTTAAATTTTTGTCAAAGTTTATTTGTGCAGGTCCAGTGGGAGCCTTTGTACTAGATCAGAAATGGACTGTTTAACAACCTTCTAGCAAATCTATTTTCAGTCATTAACTCAACTACCACCATAATTTGGTACCACCAGTTTTTGAGGTTATGTATTTATCCCTAAATTTGTGTGTGTGTGTGTGTGTGTGTGAGCATAAATAATATGTAAACAAAGTGGGAGGCAATGGAAGCTACTTTTCCATTTTGTCTCAGTTGTTGTTTTTTTTTTCAGCTCTTATGGATCAAAATAAGAGCCTTCCTTTAAATTAGTACCATTTAAAATGTGACGAGGAACTTCTAATGTCAGAATTGCTTGCTGAGAATACAGATTTCTTGGACTTTACCCTGATCTTCCTGATTCAGATTGTAGAGGTAGAGTCTAAGAATTTGCTGCTAGCACATGCTTCAGAGGATTGCTTATCATTCTTAAGACATTAAGCTGTATAATCTATAACTTGCTTCCTGCTGTTTGTTTTGTTTCCTAGATACCAGGCTGCTGGAAGTGTTGTTTGTCTTAAATGGACCTGGTATTACTAGTTAGACATAGAAGCACCTGACTTTAAGTCAGCAGGTATGTTTCAGGGTGACAAATACAAATAGCTTAGAAGCATTCAGCATGATAAGAAATTGTAGGTTTTTATGTTTTCCCAGGTTCAGCTTGAAATGTGTTTTGAAATAACACTTCAGTTCTGAAATGTGGAGGTGCTCTAAGCATCTATTGAGGTAAATATTGTGAATTTCTGCCAAGAAGCCACCACAGTGTACAGCACAAATGATCCCTTTACTAAAAAGAGGTAAGTTCATCTCTGTTGTCTCTGATTTCCTTTTACTCACATTTGGGTAAGCAATATTAATTCTATCATTCTAGATGATCATCATGCCATAAAGCAAGTCATTTTAGGAATCTGTATGCATAAATAGAAATCTCTGTCAAGGTTATCTCTTTAACTCTGGAGTCTGAATTTTGTCCTTACCTTACTATAAACTTAAAAGCACAAAAAAAGTCTATTTGGTCTGCTAGATTAATTAGAAACTGGATCCATTCTTAATTCATGAAATTCTAGGCTCAGTAGACTTAGGTCTCAGTAGACTTGTTTTATTTTATTTTTCTCATTGAGTTTATTGGTACATTTTAGGTATACAGTACACTTACGTTCATCATTGGGATCTTGTACCTTTACATGACAGGTCTTGGTTCTCATTTTTTCCCCTTGTCCCTGCCCTCCCTTCACCCCCTCCTCCCTTCCCTTTTTACAAAAACTTTATCAGTAGATTTGATCTCATTTTTCCCTTGTCCCTGCCCTCCCTTCACCCCCTCCTCCCTTCCCTTTTTACAAAAACTTTATCAGTAGATTTGTTTTACAGAAGTCAGTGACTTTGTGGAGAAGTAATGCTAAAGAAATGTAAGAGTATCTCTTCCCTAGGGACCTCATAATATTGTAATCTTATAAGGGTACATATTTATAAGGAAGCAGCAGAAATACAACTAGGTGGTTTCTTGGCTTTTTGGAAAATCGTGGGTTGCTACTAATGTATGTGACTCTGGCTGTAAGCAGAACAGAAACTGCAAAGGGAATGATCTTTGGGCTGGGTCAGTGCAAAGAGTTTCACAGAGAAGATGGATTCTCAGGGACAGACTAACATTGAAGAGGAGTAGACTAGTGGGGGTGGCAGTGCATTGTAGACAGGGGCATATCAAGAGCAGATACAGCAATGGAAGGAATGCACTTGCTGGCAGATGTAACAAAGAGCTGGTCCTGACTGGGACAGAGTGTGTGCTTCAGAGTTTGAGACTGAGGTTTGCTGGAGCAATGCTAGACAGTGGAGGTTTAGGAGAGCTTTGTAGGTAAAAGAGCCTGGACTTCATGTTAGGCCATTCAATGAGAACAGTGAGATAGCAAGTTGTTGGTGAACATCTTTACATTCATTCATTAGCTCACTTTATTCAGATTTTCCATTGAGTGAAAACCAGTGAGTCACCAAAGACAGCACAGTGCAATCCATGCCTATAGGTTTTCTTTTGATTCATCAGAGAGACAAAGATCACTTTTCTGCAAAAATGGAGATTCTTATATAGTAGATAGTTGGCCAATGGGTGATGTTGCTGAAAAGAAGAAACAGTGATCTTTTGGAACATTATATCTTGTTGGAATCATTTTCGTTTCCTGGGGCTAAAATGTCTGAGTCTTTCAACTTCTTTAGCACTCAAGTTTTCATGAGTTTAGAGTTAATGCTTAGAATTTTGAAATTCTCTGAGTAAATAAAGTTTTTGTTCCTGTGTTAGAGTTTTCTGTTTTTTGCACCTGGCATGGACAGTTGGCTTATTTGCATAAGAGTGAATATGTGTGGTTGGGAATTCAACCCAAAGAGCAACTTCTAGAAATATCTGAAGTTAGGGGACTTTTGTCTTATGAGTACACTTTTTATTTCTTTTTGGCACTGGAGATCGAACTCAGGACCTTGCACTTGCGAGGCAGGTGGTGGAACCACTGAGCTAAATCTCTGGCCCATGAGTATGCTTTTTAAAATATCTTTTTAGCTCTTTTTAGCTATGTACTTAAAAGCTGTATTTCCTAAGGAGTTACTCCAAACAGTTACCATACATGCTAGAAGAAGAATATATGGATATAATTGAACCCATTTTTATTTCTAATTGAAATAAAATTGAGTCTCTTTCACACTTGACTTAAAATATTTGGCTTTCGTCACTGATCCAGAATTCATAAAATAATTTCTCCCTCTTGGTCTTGTACTATTTTTTTCCCTGAATATCATTACATTCAAATCACTTGATATGGCATTAATCTTGTCTAGTTGTAACTTTGGAATACTTTAGAACTTCAAACAGGTTGAGTATCTGTGTCCCAGAAGAAACGAACTATTAGTATCCCAAAGTTCTTCCTTAACTCAGAGCACCCAAATGTTTTTTCTCTTCTACAGCTGTCGTTTACCCCCAGGTGCAGATCTTTCAATTGTTTTCTTTTTTTGTTTTAGAAATTTTCTCTTAGTTATTCCCCATCTTTGTTAGTAAAATCAAGACTAGAAAAGTAAGCAGCGTGCTCATGTCTTGGTTACATATATCTTTTTTCAGAGGCAGGGTACTGGAGATTGAATCCAAGATCTTCACATTTAGGTAAATTCCCAGCTCTTTTTAATTTCTTTACTTTTAAAAAAATTTTGAAACAAGTTCTTCTAAATCACAAAGTTGCCCTGCTGGGCTTGCCTTTGAGGTCTTCTTGCCTTGGTGTTCTGGAGTGCTGGAATTACTGGCTTGCACCACCATGCCCAGTTTATGTATATTGTTTTGGGAAGACAGAGTAATAAAAGGCAAGCCTTCCAGTTCAAATCTAGGTTATATTAATGTCGAAGGTTTGGCCCTTTATGATACTCAAAGCTTATAATTTGACCCTTTATGTGAGCCTAAGTCACTGAGCCATAGACGGGTCTATAAAGGAGGCAGAGGGATTTAAACATTATTTTTATTATTGCAAAAAGTCCCACCGACATTGCATATTTCCTAAAATAAAACAGCATTAATTAACTAGAATGTCATGGCATTTTTGCTTTTGATTAGAGTTAAATTAATTCAGTTTGATAACATTGATTATCATGCTGATCTGAAGCTGTGATTATAGTTATATATGTCTTAGATGATTAAAATATGAAAATAGGTTGATTATATCTTAATAAATGCAGTTTATTTGATAAGGAATTTACAAGACCTGAATTTGAGCAAAAAAAAAAAAATTGACAAATTTTTGGAAGTCCTTTCATTATGTCCTAAACAGTAGGAGTGATGAAACATACTAAATTCTAAAATGTATCAAAGATTTTTTTTTAATTCCCTGATTTTCCATTTATTTCTATTTTTCCCCAGTACTGTGCTTAGAACACAGGGATGCTCTATCACTGAGGCTATTTTATTTTATTTATTCTGAGGCAGTCTTGCCATGTAGTTCAGGTTGGCCTCAAACTTACAGTCTCCAAATGCTGGGATGACAGGTGTGCACCACCACGTTCAGCCTTCTCAGTCGTCTTTTGATTTTTTTTTATCTAGACAAACGCTTGTTAAATTGTCAAGGCTGGCCTTGACTTTCAATCTTCTTTCCTCAGCCTCCAGAGTAGCTGGGATGACATGCATATGCCACCATGCCCAGCTGATTTTCTACTTCTGAAAGTCATGCTTTAAGTTAAAATTTTATGTTCTATAAATTTCCATTTATCAAAAGATACTATAGAAATGAAATTATTTTATCTTTTTGAGGTAAAAAGCAGCTCTTCATAGAAGTCTGTTTTTTTAAAGTGTCTTAAATGGCAATGATCACAAAAACTTCCAGTTTCTCTTCATTATAGATGGGTACTGCTGAATATCTTATTATTTTAACTTCTGTTCCCTGAGGATGATTGGAAAGTGAGAATTCTACTCCCCACCCAATTGAATGTAATTTGAAATTTCTTTGATCAATACCAAATACTTTCACTTTGTGGGTTATGAAGAATTCATAAGCACTAAACTTACAAAGCCATTCACCCAAAAAGTGAAACAGAAGACAGTGTCAGTCATCTCAGTGTCTCTCATGCAACTGAATGTGGCCGGCACACTGCTTGAACACTCCCTGCAGAGTTTCTCCCCATGCGCATAAACATTTGCTGAACAATCCAAATGTTCATATTTCTGAAAGACTGGAGTATACTTGGTCCTGAGTACTTTCTGGTCCTCAGTTAAACTGCAATCTCTGACATCTTCCTCTTCCTGCAGCATGATTGCAGAACTGAACCTTAAAGATTGTTGTGCAACCATAAAATTTCATATATTTATTCTCTCTAGTAGCTTTAACAGGAACAGTATAAAGTCATACTTCTCTTTGTTATATTTTTGATACTAATTATGACTAAAATTCATCCTCCATCTAAAGTCTGTCATCGAAAGCTGTTTAATTACGTGTGTACTGACTTTTCTAATTCTGACTTAATAAACTGAGATATCTGCGGATGCTGATCACACATTTAAAAGAAGCTGTTTGAGAGCAAGCACACAAGTATTATATTGAGAAACAAAGAGAAAAGATAAGTTTATCATTCTGCCAAAAGTCAATAGATACCATTTTCATATGCTAGCAACACTTAATAAGGGCAGTTAAGCTGGTTTGGAAAGTATAAATAGAAGCATAACATATTTTCTGATCTCCGATGAGTCATTGGGCTTATCAAAGACGTTTCTTTGAGAAGTAGCTTCCTTCCCTGGCTAAGGCGACAGATTGGGGTTTTTGTAATCGTGCTCAGATCACTGTGGCTTTGGGCATCGCTTTTCTGACTCACCTGGCTCGGACTGCTTTACACACAGTCTAGAGATCATAGTGCTGAAGGGCAGTGACTGAGCTCACTGTTCCCTGAGGCTTGCCCTTTAAAGGTTAAACTGGTGGGGGATGGGAAAGGCCCTGGGGCTCAAGAATGCGTGAGAACATGTGACCTGCCAAGTTTAAACCACATTCCTCTCTCCTGTATTCTGACTCCAGAATCCATACTGGATTACCTCTTGACTCTCAGGAAACATCAAGCAGGACTCCTTCTGCTGGCTTCATGCAGGTGTCCGTGAACTTGGAGGCAACAGAACTTAGAGTCATAGGAGTTATTTGCACAATCTCTTCCTGTCCAGTGGAGCACATTAAACAAAGCATGAGACAATGATAGAAGCAGCTTCATATACTCAGGTGCCTCAGGGACAAAGGGCAGGACAGATGGTCTCTAAGGACCTTCTAGGCTCTAACTTCCTGTAACTCAAAGTTTCCTTGAC